AAAAGTGGCCTACTGCTGAGGTGCTTTGGGGCTGCTGGCGTAGGGGAATTTGATCATCTTGGATGACTATAGCTTTGTGGTAGGCCTTGTCCAATGTTGTATTAGCTTGCATGGCCTTATAGCTATCAGTATGAAAAATGCATTCCTTATTAGGTGCTCTTAGGAATTGTCCTTTTGCTTTAGCTCTGTTTTCACCTTTTTAGTGCTTTTCAGTTCCTTGACAGTAGGCTTTGAGATCTTGGTTGCACCACCATATGTAGTAGGTATGACATTCTCATATTCTTTCTATCTTGGGTTGTCCAATTCCACAACATCATGCAGCACACTAAACCTTGAAGACGTTGCAATGCTCTTTCCACCAATTTGATTTTCCTTTTTCCTTGCTTTATCATACCTGTGCCTGAATCGTGTTGGTGCTTGCATCCACGACCTAAACTTAGTGGCGTACGCTTGTCTGGTGGTGGTTCATTGATAGCCTCTGGTGGTTGCTCCGTTGGAGTTATCCCTTTTTCTAGGCACTAGTCTTCAAGGTGACCATAACGGCCACAGTGAAAACAAATTGCTGGCAAACCTTCATACTCAATGTAGATGACTTCACTGTCTACTTATATCTTGGAGGTGAGTAGCTTAGTAAGGTCGATAGCAACTGCAAGTCTAGCAAACTTCCCATGATCACCAAAGTCCGTATTATAGTTGACCCTGATGACTTGACCAAAGAGCTTTCCAATAGAGCGAATGATGTTCTTACCGTGTTATCAATGATAGTGTCTTTACAACGAATCTAAGGAACAACTGAATCAGCATAGTTGTGAGCTTTCTTACTCTATTCACATGTATGAATAGATTTAAAAAAATGAAAATAAGTTAAATTACTCAATCATCATTCATGATAAAATTTAATACCACACCCTAAAAGTAGGGCTTTGGTGTGCTTATCATTCTGATGAAATTCGAATTATTTAGATTTTGATTTAAGTGATTCATATTTAAAGTATTACTCTATTATTTTATTTTTATATTTATTAAAATAACATTTTAAAAATTTATTAAAAAATTAATAAATTTTTTGTAACCTGGTATAGATTTAATTTTAAGGTCCAATTTAATATTAAAATTTTTATAATTGTCATATATTAACTATCTAGATATAATTTACACAGTCCAATTTTAATAAATATAAAATAAAATAATACTTTAAATCTAAACCATTCACATTAAAATTTGAATAGTTCAAATCTCATGATATTGATGAGCACAATGTAATGAGCACTGAAGTTAGGTCTATAAATGTAAGAATCATTGCACTCATCACAAATCTTATAAATTATAATTCTAAAAATATAAACTAAATTACCTTTATTCTTAATAATCAAGGACCATTTATTTCCCTTCCACAATCCACACCTTAATAATTATATTTTTATATTTATCTATTTTAATTCATTTCATTCTTTTTCAAGCAAATGGCCCTTATTCATTTAATCAGACATATAGACCATATAAGTAATAAAGCAAATATTTAATCTTATCGATAGTGGCGACCATTTTCTAATGAGAAGAGCCATTGTTTATGACTCTCGCCGCATAAGATAGAATTAATCACCTCATTGTGTGTGTGTGTAGCAATCTCTATTCTCAAGATTGCTTCCGGGAGAGCGATCTGATGGCGGAGAGTGAGCTAAATCTTCTGGGCAGATGGTCGAGCCTTTTTACAATGAGGATAAAGATTGCTCTTAATATCAAAGCTTTTGAATACGAATACTCTAAAGAGCACAGGGAACCCAAGAGGGATCTTCTTCTTCAGTCCAATCCAGTCGACGCCCTAATTCCAGTTCTTATCCACCATGGCAAACCCATCTATGAATCCCTTATCATTGTCGAATACATCAATGAGGCTTAGTCCTCTAGCCCTTCCATCCTCCCCTTTGATGCTTATGATCGTTCAATCGCTCGATTCTGCACTGCTAACATCGACGACAAGGCACTTTCCTTTCCAACAATAGAGTTTAACTTTTCGAGAAAAAAAATTGGGTATTTTCCATCCATTTCTGACCATGCTTTTTGGGTTCTTGAGTTTCTTGAGTTTAATCTCTTCCTTCCTAAATGAGAACTGTTTCTCTTTATATAATAGAAGAGTTTTTTGATAAAATTTAGAGTGAAGTTAAAAGTAAAATTTAAAGTGAAGTTAGAAGTAAAATTGAATTTAAAAGTATGTTTGGTGAGATGATGAAAATGAGATATATTTTTAATTAATATATTAATTTATTATGTGAAAATATTTAAATGCCTTTTAACGGAAAATCCCTATTCACCACCCTAAACAGTCATGCCGCTGGCGCAACACAACCAGCCACCGGTGAAGAGGAAGAAATCGAACTAGATGCCATAGAAACCAAAGGGGAAGAAACCGAGGAAACTGAACAGGGCCTCGCCAAAGCCCACTCCTTGATTCTCAAATGCCGCTAATGGCTTGGTGAAGAGTGTGTTCACCATCATACTCGCCGCCGCCTTTCGTAAGATGTCTACCCAGCTTCAGAACTCAATCGGCGACGTGCCCTGGCTCTTTTACATGTTTGCTCCGGTGGAGGATCGCAATCAGTATCTGGGTCTTCCTTCGATCACAGCAAATGAACCGAATCTGTATCTCATATGGGAGAAGGTGGCGACTCTTTACACAAGTTCTCTGGAGGAGCAATCTGATGCGGCGGCTTCGCTGGTGTCACTTGTTCAGGATGACGATCGATAAGGGAAGTTGGAAGGAGGCAGGTCTCCTTGAGGAGGAAGAGATAAGGTTGGAAGGGTCATTGTGAGGCAGAGGAGAGAAGGTTGGAGAGGATAAAGATGGAAGAGGGGTCTGATGGAACCCAGTTTCATAGGAGGTGTGATGGAACTCGGTTTCATCGATTTTGGTGGAACTGGGTTCCTTCAGGAACCGAGATCTTGCGTACCAAACGTCTGAAAAAATGGGTTCCGGTTCCACTTCCACTTCCTTCACCCCAATTCCATACTACCAAACGAGCCGTAATTGTGATAGTGGCGATGAAAAGCATTCTGATTGCTAAAGATGAGGAAGCAAGAAAACCATACAATGAGACAATGGATGAAGTGGTTGGGAGGATGGAGGATACGTTTGGGAAAATTAGCAAGGGAAAATCCTTTTTTGGTGGAGACCAGATTGGATTCCTGGACATTGCTTTTGGAAGCCACCTGGGTTGGCTTAGTGTTGTATAAACTTTATATGGAAGAAAGTTTCTTGTTCAGGCAGAAGCTCCGTCTTTGGTGGAATGAGCTGAGAAATTTTCTGCTGATCCTGCTGTGAAGGACCTGAAACTGATAAACTCGTAGAGCTTTCCAAGTCCCTTCAGATCAAATAGAGAGCTGTAATTGCCGAGAAGTAGAGTTTTCGAGCGTGATTGCATGCTGGTGTAAATTATCTTTCTATTGTTGTATGTTTCACTAAAATGATGCTCTATTGTTCTACATGTTTCTTACAAGTTTGCTTGGATTGTCTTCTCTCTTTTGGGCCATGTACTGTCCTTTGTAGCAGGAATTTGCATGAGTAAGTGCTTTGGATTTGATTCTAGATGATTTCAGAGTCAAATCGATTGCAATGGCTGTCTTGCTGTCATTTGAAGAAATAACATATCTCTGCAATGTACTTTTCAAAACACTTCCATTGCTTGAAATTTAAAATCGGAGTGAAACTCGATCATTTTTCTGAGGTCATTTTCTGATATTTTTTAGGCTATATGGAAGCTGTACACAACATTATAGGGAACTGTGAATTATCCTTGCTACAATTCTCGTTAAAGCATTTGGATGAATAATATGAACCTTGGAAGAGCTCCTTTCAACAGAAGACACTGGATAAGGTTATAGATTATGTAAATTGATTAAGTTTGAGCTGAGCCGTCAGTGGCAGTCACTTGAAATGGTATATATGGAAGGTATGATACGCGCCATTTCCTTGCAACTCGCCCGAATAATTTAGATTTTAGATTTTATATTTTATATTTTATATTTTGTAAAATAAAAAATTTTAATAAATATATTCCCTATCTAGACAATCCAGGTTTAGAGCTCATTTATTTTAACTTATTTTATAAAAAATATACTTATTTTTGAAAAAGAAAATTTATTTTATAAATTTATATAATATTTGTTTAAACTCTTAAAAGTAATCGAAATATAAAAAAAAGAAAATGTATGATTATTTTAAGGGGTGACTTTGAGTGACTTTTAAAAATAATATAATGAGATAGATGAAAGTGTGTGTTTTAAATAAGTGAAATATACAAAGATATCATAAATTTTTAAAATAATAAAATAATAAATCATTTTGCATAAATCATAAATCAAGGAATGAGGCATAAAATTTAAAAATAATTAACTAATAATTAATTTTTATTACTGTAACCAAATATAAAAAAAATATCTGCTTTTTATAAAATATCTACAAAATAAATATCTTTTTGACAAAATCTTTAAACTATCTAAAAATTATTTATTTTTAATCTTCAATAAACAGGGCTTTAGTATGGATGATTCACATTTAATTTATTAAAGTTATAAAAAATTTTAATATTAAATCTATATTGTTTAGAATATATGTAAAAAGTCAATCCGTAATATTAAATGTGGACCATTTATAGTAAATTTGAATTGTTTTTTATTAAAATTTTTATAATTTACATATTTTTTATTTTAAAAAATAAAAAATATTTAATATATTGTAAATTTCGGGCCCCAAGTACTGCTTTTCATGTTCGACTCCTTTTAATTTCTTTCTTTTTTTTTCTTTCCATCTTTTGTCATTTTTGAAAAAGAATGCAGTAGATACGATATCTTGAATCAAATCCGGAAGTGGCAGGGACAAATGCAAATTGCGAAATAGACAACTAATAATTTCAGCCCGGTTCTGGGCCCTTGTCTGTTCCGCTGGGTGGCTCGGTGAATTATAGCCACAGGTGTACCTATTAAAGTTGACGAGTCACGCTTGATACTTTTTCCTACATACACTGCACGGCATCCCGTGGCCTTTCTCCCTCCCAGATTATACTGGTTACTCATGGCAAACACTGACCTGAAGCTTCTCGGTGGTTGGTTCAGTCCATTTGTGTTGAGGGTTAGGATCGCGCTCAACATCAAATCTCTGGAATATGAAAACGTTGAAGCGACCTTGAACCCAAAAAGCCAGCTTCTTCTGCAGTCAAATCCTGTACACAAGAAAATCCCAGTCCTCCTTCACGGAGACAAACCCATCTGTGAATCTAGAGTCATTGTCGAATACATAGACGAGGTTTGGAACTCTGGTCCCTCCATCTTATCAGCAGATGCTTACGATCGAGCCATGGCTCGTTTCTGGGCTGCCTACATCGATGACAAGGTATTGCTTAATTTCTCTCCTGATCTTTGTTTATCTTACTTTTATAATTCCCCTTTGGCTGACACTAATGAAGTTTGCTGGGGATAGTTTTTTGTGGCCATGGTAAGCGTTGTACGTGCAGAAGATGAAGAAGGGAGGAAGCCATACTTGGAGGATGTGGAAGATGCGCTTGTGACAATGGAAGGTGAGTTGCAGAAACACTGCAGAGAAGGAAAGGGGTTTTATGGAGGGGGTGAGATTGGGTTGGTGGATATTACGTTAGGGAGCTTGATGTGTTGGTTGAGTGTGATAGAGACGATGAGTGGAAGGAAGATATTGGTTGAAGCGAAGCATCCAGGTTTGGTGAAATGGGCAGAGAGATTCTCATCTGATCCTAACGTGAAGGGGTTGATTCCTGAGACTGAGAAACTCATAGAGTTTGCAAAGGCTCTTAAGATGAAGTGGAAAGCTGCTGCTTCTGCAAAGTAATGGAACTCGTTTTCAAAGGTGCTGCTTTTGGGATGTCATAACAATTAATAAGCAGTTTCTTTCTTTGTTAATGGGACATTAACGGTCCTTCCGAAGCCACTGGACTATTTGATGGAAGCAGTTTTTAAAAACACATTGTGTGGAATTTGAAATATTTTTATTTACAATTTATAAATAATGCATTTTATTATAAATTGTATATATTTTAGGGAAGCATCTCCCACTTATGGGGGAGCTCACAAGCCACTCTTAGATTTATCTTGAATATAATTAAAACAAATTTTATTTAAATAAACGATGAAGTGAGAAAGCAATCAAGTATTGAGATTTGATTGAATGCATGTTTAAATTAAAAAGAAAGCAATCAAGTATTGAGATTTGATTGAATGCATGTTTAAATTAAAAAAAATCTGCGACAGAGGTTACACTCAATTGACATTAACAAATTAAGATTAGGAGAAAAGCTTGTGGTTGTAATAAGATTTATATTTGTATATTTTTTTAAGTCAGTTGGATAAATTAAAATTTATTTAGATGAATTGATTAAAAGCCTATTTATATATATATATTATGATAAAAAAGACATAAATTAATATATATATATTAACTAATTTGTTACTTTTAGAAAAAAAATATTAAAATTTAGATTTTAAGAACAATAAATGAAATGAAAAATTATAAAATATTCAAATACATAAATTGATATTTTTAAGGAAAATAGCTAACATTCATCTACACATGTTGAATTGGTTTTAGAATATTGATTGATTAAGCTTAAAAATAATAATAATTGGACTCTCTAGCTTTTTTGCTAGCATTATCATGCACACCCTCTTAGTTTCACTACTCATGGCCCATTCATTTCTCACCTATTCTTCGCTGACGACTTCATTCTTTTTATTGAGGCTTCCATGGAACAAATTGAGCTTGTCAAGCAGGTTATGCTCTCCTTTACAAAACTTCAAGACATAGGATTAAGCTTGGTAAGTCTAAAATGTTCTCCTCTTGAAATGTCCACTTCAATCAAGCTCGTGATCTTAGTTAGCATCTGGGCATTGGCCTTACTTTTAACCTTAAGAAATATCCTAGGGTTCCCCTCTTTCATTCTAAGGTGATCGAGCTTACCTTTGCCCTGATCATTCACAAAGTTAGAAAGAAGCTCTCTACTTGGAAAGCCAAATACCTCAACATTGCTATCCCTTCTCACCTTATGGAGACCTCTCTTCTACCCAAATGCATCCTTCATGAAGTAGAAAAGATTAGTAGAGACTTTCTTTGGTCTCAGAATCTCAATCAGCATAACATGAGGAGGAGGTTAATTGCAACTAAGTCCCTGAAACTTCACAGGCATTTATTCAATTAGTGGGACTTTAGAGTGATTTTTCAAAGAATATTTTGTTAGTTTTATAGGATAATCTCATTGTAAGTGTTAAAAACAACTATGGAAGGGGGAAAAACCATAATGAGAAGAAACCGTAGAGAGATAAGTGCGCAAAGTGATTGTTAAAATATCACAAAGATAATCTTACAATTAAATAGAAAGTTTAGTCGCATTTGCCTATATTCATTCGAAATAACTTTCTAGGTTATGTTTGGATTGCTCTTGAACGCGCTTTTAGTGACTTCTGACCACATTTTTTTTTTGGAGCCGATTACAAGATGAAAAATCTTGTTTGGGTGAAAAAACATTGAAAAAATAATTATTTGATCCCTGTAATTTTGATTTAGTTGTAATTCAATTTTTAAATTTTCACTCATTATAACTCAATCCTTATAGTTTTAACTCAATTGTAACTTAATCTTTATAATTTCAACCATTTAAATACCAGTCTATATTTTAAAAATAAAATTATAAAAATAAAAAATATTTTAAAATTTTAATATTTATAAAGATTAAAAGAATTTAGTAATTTAAAATACTAGTAATAAATTTTAACAAATAATTATAATCTTTTTTTAAGATATTGGGACCAACATTTAAAAGATTAGATATATAAAGGCTGAGTTGCTAGAGTCAAAATTTAGAGATTGAGTTATAACTGAATTAAATTTTTAGGAATGGAATTACAACTAGTCAAAGTTTAGGGACTAACTCATAACTAAATTAAAATTATAAGAAAAAACCTAATTTTCCCAAAAACATTCATAAGAATTTTAAGGGAATGCTTGACTCAGTAGAAGCTCATTAGTGGAGTTTTTCAATACTTACTTTGAAGTGAGTAGGGGCATTTAATATTTTTTATATTAGATTTATCTCTCATAGCCCTCTCGCCTCACTTACCTGCTGCTTTGTTTTTGTTGTGTCTCCCCTTCAAACACCAATTGTTGCATCCAACCTCTCATTGTCGTTGTTGCTAACGATGTCTATGCTCATTGCCATTGTCGCTTGTGGAGGTTGTGTTTCAAGGCTCAAGGTATCTGTTCCATTTGCTTCTCTTTCATTTGTAAAGGTCGTGGGATTCTCTTGTTGTGTAGCTTGTTGCTCATCATTAGGCTCTAGAATCTGCAATCTCGTTGGCTTCTTGTATGTCTCGCCCACTACGAATAAAAATATAAAAAAAAACCCTTTTTACGTTGCTTTTTTAAAGTATTTCACGTCCTTGCAATAGGGAACATAAATCCGAGCAACAAGTTAACTTATCCACATCACTTTGTAAGGAACATTTTTTTAAAAAAACAAGTCGCTTTTTGTAAAAAAGGACATGGTTATTGGAGAATCCGGTCTTTTTTTCACAAAATGCGACGTGATTTATGGACACAGTTTATCTTGAAACAAATATTAAAATAATTTAAATTTAAATATCTGTTATTTTTATTTCATCATTTTAACTAACTATAGATTTCATAGACTTAAAAGCAAAATAAAAGAAAACTAAAACTATACCAAAATTGATGAAATAACAAAAAATAATGAAAAATGCTCAAATAGATGTCAGAAATATCTACAAAGAAAAAGACTTTGTAGGTGAAAATAATACTAACCAAATATTGCTCGCTAGCTCAGGGGGAAGAGAAGGAGAAGCTATGAATCTTGATCGTGGGTCTCGAAGCTATCCTTCAAATGGCAGAAAGAGGAGGAGACAAGGAGAAGAAAAAGTTATCTGTCGTTAAATGCTAGCCTTGGGTCTTTATTCAGTTTGTTAGTTGTATATCTCAATGTTGTGGGAAAGAAAAGAGAGACTTGTAATGTGGAGGAGAGGCGAGATCTACAGTGGGAAGGAGAAGAGAAACGTGTTGCCATCGAATTTAGATTTTAAAATACAGAATGATGGAGCGAGGGAGGAGCTAGATTTGATTTAAAAAAAGCTGACTGAAATTTTAAAAAAAAGTGACGCTAAAAATGTCAAGAAATTAATATTTTAAAATAATTTATTTTTTACAATTTACGTTGCTTTTTAAAAAAAGCGACATAAAAAAATATCTAAAAATTAATAATTTAAATAATTTATTTTTTATAATTCACGTCCTTTTTTTTTAAAAAAAGCAACGTGGAAAGTTATCTATGTCACTTTTTTAAAAAAGTGACATGAAAAATGTTCAAAGTTAATAATTTAAAATAATTTATTTTCTATAATCCACATCCCCTTTTTTAAAAAAAGTGACGTGAATAACTTACCACGTCGCTTCTTTTTTTTTTAAAAAAAAAGGGAATGTGAATAATTTTATATATTTAACACTTATTTACAAAATTATCACCGCTTATTTTTTATGTCACTTTTATAAGAAGTGATGTACATTGAGGATGTAAAATCTATACTTTGCAGTAGTAGTCATTGTTCTTGTTTTGGTATCTTCTAGTTATGGGTTCTTTGAGCTCCTGGATGTCATCTCAAGTTCAAAATCTCTAGACTTTGTACTAATTAAGAATGGATGTAGATTGATAAAATTATCATTATCAATTTTTTTTTCTAATACATGGCAAGCAAAGCTTGGAAGAAAACTAACAAACAGAAAAGTTAACTAGCCTTTATAACGTGCCTATGGTAGTTAAGAGGAATAACATGGACTAATTTTATTTTAAAACCCACATCGTTCGTGCCTTTGGAAGAGTATTTGCACACTGGATGTTGTTGTGATTGGTATGGAAAATCTCCACTTCTCTATCTTTAAAGATGATTTCATAAATGGCAATGATGTCGTTGCGCAGGGGCTGGTCTGTACTTGAGTCTCGAAACAACAAATTATAAGCGTCAAGTGAATCTGTGAAAAGTTGCTAGTTAATGAGACCTTTAAGTTTCAAACTTCTAGACCTGTTCGAGTAATGCATAACTCAGCTTCAAGACTTGATAGAGGTTTGAGTGCTTTCTAAAAACCAAGCACCCATTCACCATAGCTATCCCATACTATGCCTCTACGGGCTGCATGATTATTAACTGAGGAGCCATCCACATCTACATGAGTTTTACCTTCAGGAGGGGAACCCATAAAGAGGCTGTATCGTGGTGTGTGATAGGGAAGATGTCATGTTTATACTGTCATGTTTATACTGGTCCCTGGTAGAGACATGATGTGTCTATGTTCAAATAATTTGCTGCATCAATTTTTTTAAAGAATCCAGTAGACAGTGGTGAAAGTCTTGATCCAAGGCCATCTACTACATATTCTCCTACCTCAATCATTTTGGACATTCCATTTAAGCCAAACCTATAAATTTCCAGAGAAAAAATTTGAATAATGGTTAGCTAAAATTAGAGCACTCCAAACCTCCCTTGCATAAGAATAGTCTCTTAAAATATGAGTGATACTCTCCTCACTGTCATAGTTAAATGGGCATAGGTAACTATTAGAGATTCCTCTCTTGGCTTTAAGGGAGTTAGTAGGTAGCCTCTCATGGTAGACAAGCCACATGAAGTGTTTCACCCTTTCAGAAACAGGGCATTTCTAGATTTTTCCCTTAACAGGATCGAGAGTATGATGTTGTTGCTTCTTGATGAAATTGTAAGTAGATTTGATGCTGAAATTGCAATCTAAAGCTAGTCTTTAGTAAAAGCAATCAATTTCATTGCTATTAGGTGGCTTGAAATGCATAAGTTTTTAAAGCACCAAATGTGGGAGAATATTATGCCAAGCATGAACATTTCAGGAACCATTTGCAAGGACGAAGTCCCTAACAATGGCTTGATTGTCAACCCTATCCCAATTTCGAATGAGGTACTAAGCCAAGGGCTTGTCAAGAGGGACCATTGGTCCCACTAGAATTTAGCGTTGAGGCT